CCCCAAAACCCCAAAACCCCAAAACCCCAAAACCCCAAAACCCCTTTCAAAAAATTACAATTGATATAGTCCTCAAAGGTGTTATTTTAATAGTTTTCCATTGTAAACTTCATTCAGAGGACGCTCGTTAAAACGCTTTATACTGTCCACAGGACTAAGCTGATACTGGCCGTTTGCAAACCTCAACTTCTTTAAGTGACTTTGGACATTTGTCTGATTCAATTTAGCAACATTGTTCATCAGGCTTATTGAAAGTGAGTTCCCATATCGATGTCTTGGCCTCTTTGGATTCAAACACGACTCTTTATCATATATGATCTTCTTAGGTATATTATAACTGTCTTCGATATCGTCAAGGGAAAGGTCTTTTGCTAGTCTTTGGTAAATTTTAGCATCTCTTTTGCCTTTTGTAATTGTATCAGTGAACCTATTTTTCTTTTTCTAAGATATCATCAAAGTCTTTTCTCTTAGTAAAGTGTTTCTTGCTCTGCTCTTCTTGCAGCAGTTTATGGTAGGGAGTGCCCTTGAGCCCAATCTCAGTGAGTTTAAGTTTCTCTCCTTTCTCAGTCTGGTCTTGGATACTTTTAAATATCCGCTCCACTATTTTATGAACAGAAGTAATTACTTTTAATATTTTTGAGTTCATCCTCATCTAGCTTTCTATTCTTGAGCCTTGAAATGCTGTACTTAGAATAGTTTATACTAGAACATCTTTCTCTAATTAAGCTTCTGCGATTACTATGGTTTTCAGAAACTCCTTCTAGCCTTGAAGAATCAACTTTAAAGCTGTTTAGATTATTAGAGAGCAGCCTATTCCTCCTTTTGTCATTTGATGTCAATGTCTGAAGTTGAGCAGTAGCACTTTTTGTAACCAAAGGTTTTGGCTTTGAAATATCTGGCTTGTCAGTAGAAAGAGCTCTTATGTCAGGCATTTTATGATCTCTATGTTTAGTTTTCATGATTATGTTAATCCCTTTCTCCCTGATCCTTGGAGCTATAACTGGAGGCATGCGCATAGCAGGCCTTTGCTTAGGTGATAATGTAATCCTGTCCAACCTCTTATTAGTGGTATTCTTATTTCCTCCCACCTTTATCAACATACTTTCTAATATGATCTCTTTGCTTATTTTCATTTCTCGACCATATATTTATTCGAATCTAGGTATCTCCGATTATGACCAGGCACCAGACTATCATTAACATTCTCTGCCGATAATGAGCTGTAACAGTTATCTAAAGCATATAATCACCTCTCTACACACATCTCCGCCTCCAATTCACCCTCCCGTCCACCCTCCCGTCCACCCTCTCCTTCCCCCTCCCCTCCCCTACCCCCCCACTCCCACCCCCCCCACTCCCACCCCCTTTTGCCTTTCCTAGTCTTCTTACCCATAACCCCTATGTTTTATTTCAATATTTTAATAAACTTCCGGGGTTTTGGGGTTTTGGGGTTTTGGGGTTTTGGGG